CGGACTTGATCCACCGTATGATGGTGTCCGTAGCCGTATTCTTGCTCTTAGTCCTGTTCCCCCCCTCTCGAAGCCTATGCCATGGTCATTGAGGAAGACACCCATCAGTCCGCTATGCTTGGAGGAGGATCGTTGGCTCTCAAAGTTGACCCACCTCGTCAACGACCGGTCGCCCAGCGCGACATGACCGGTCGCTCCCCGTCCAGAAAATTTGGATCTTCTGCTGGGTCTCGTCCTTCTGGCTCTACCCCTAGCTCTCTTGAAGGTCTGCCTAAATGTCGCCATTATAATGGGAATCATTATTCTGAGAAGTGTTTTAAGGAGCATTGTTATCCTGATTGGTTTGCTAACTACAAAGCTCGTATGTACGGCCCCAAGGCCACCTGCACTATGACTCAAGATGAGGCCCGTCCTCCGGCTCTGTCTGCAAATCTGTGTGCTTCTGATACTATGCCAGGTATTGGTTCTACTACTTGGTTAATTGACACTGGTGCTTCTGATCATATGACTTATAATGATAATATGTTTGATGAGTTGTCGCATAACCCTTGTAACCCCTATATTACTAGTGCTAATGCTTTACCTTCTCCAGTTACCAGTGAAGGTACCATCCACCTCACTCCTTCTTTACCTATGTCTCGTGCACTCTTGGTTCCCAATATTCATTGCAATTTGTTATCTGTTGGGCGTTTGCTTGATACACTTAACGTGTCTGCTACTTTCTATTCTACCCATTGTTTTTTTCAGGATCTCAGGACTCACGAGAAGATTGGGCATGGTAAACGGATAGGGGGGGTTGTATTACTTACAGTTGCCGGCTGCAGTAGTTCGTGGTTGTGACGCTAATAAAGTTCCGAGTGGCAGTGTCAAAGACAAGCAAAAACTTTGGCTATGGCATCGTTGCTTAGGGCATCCGTCATTTGGTTATCTTAGACATTTGTTTCCTTCATTATTTAGTTCGTGTGATGAGTCTAGCTTCAAATGTGAGACTTGTGTAATGGCCAAGAGCCACCGTATTGTTTTTCCTTTAAGTAATAATAAAGCTGCTTTGCCTTTTGAGTTAGTACACTCTGATGTATGGGGTCCTGCTCGTGTGACTTCTCATGATTTCCGTTGGTTTGTTACGTTTATTGATGACTGCACTCGCTTAACATGGGTGTATTTGATGAAGAATAAACATGATGTTGCCTCTATTCTCCCTGATTTTTGTGCCATGGTGTCTACTCAGTTTCATGCTCATGTTAAAGTATTTCGGACTGATAATGGCAGTGAATATGTGAATCATACCTTGACCCCGTTCTTTCGTGATCATGGTATCATTCACCAAACTACCACTCCATTCACTCCTCAACAGAATGGCGTGTCTGAACGGAAGAATCGTTAGTTACTTGAAGTTGCCCGCTCTCTTATGTTGGATATGTCTGTTCCCCATCATTTTTGGGGACATGATGTCTTAGCCGCGGCCTACTCGATTAACTGTACTCCTAGTCCGGTTCTTGATTTCAAGACTCCGCTTGATGTGTTGTGTGCCCATTCTCCTCCGGTTTCGGTCTCTAAGTTACCTCCGAAGGTGTTTGGGTATATTGCTTATGTTCATGTCTATTCCCATCAACGGAGTAAACTTGATCTTTGTGCTCTCCGTTGCGTCTTCATTGGTTATTCTACTACTCAGAAGGGTTATAAGTGCTATCACCCACCTACTCAGAAGGTACATGTTACTTTGGATGTCACCTTTCATGAAAAAGTTCCATATTATGTTTCCCCCTCCTCTTCAATTCAGGGGGAGAGGGGGAGTGAATTGAAGAGTTTCAGAGTGGAAAATGTGGAAAAGCTTGGACTTGAAGAAGGAATTTCTGGCGAACAGAAAGCGACCGGTCACGAACGAACCTGCTTGGGAGGGTGTGGTGTACAAGCTACGGAAATCCTTGTATGGATTAAAGCAGTCTCCAAGAGCTTGGTTCGGGAGGTTTGCTGCATCTATGAGGAAGTCTATCACGACCGGTCGCCAGACCATATTTTGGAATTTTCCGGCTCTTCCTCAGAAGGACATGACAGTGATATTAGCGACTCTCGTACAGATGAAATTGATACAAGACCCCCCTCTGCCCTACCACTGCCCCAATCAACTCGTGATAATGAGGTACTTTCTAGTTATGTGTATACTTATTCTTTGCCTCCACGCACTACCCATGGGAAACCTAAAGTATAATATTCTCCTGATATACATGCCAAGTCCAAATATCCCATTAACCATTATATGTCAACTCATCGTTTGTCTAAGTCATATGCATCATATTTGTGTCAATTATCTAGTGTATGTGTGCCAACGAAGTTGCAGGATGCTCTATCTGATCCAAATTGGGTAGATGCAATGCATATTGAGATGGAAGCCTTGAACAAGAATGCCACTTGGGAGTTAGTTCCTTTACCAAAAGGAAAAAGCGGTTGGGTGCAGATGGGGTGTTTACTTTGAAGCACAAGGCTGATGGGTCTATTGACCGTTACAAGGCAAGATTGGTAGCAAAAGGGTATACTCAGACCTATGGAGTAGATTACACGGAGACTTTTACTCCAGTAGCAAAGCTCAATACTGTGCGCGTACTCTTGTCCTTAGCTGCTAACCATGATTGGTCGCTGTTACAATTTGATGTCAAAAATGCATTCCTCCATGGTGACCTCAAGGAAGAAATATACATGGATCCTCCACCGGGTATTCCTA